ACTGTACTCAATGTCTGCCATGAGAGCAGTAGACCACTGTACTCAATGTCTTCCATGAGAGCAGTAGCCCACTGTACTCAATGTCTGCCATGAGAATGGTCTTCATTGACTGACACTGAGAAATAGACTGTCGGGTTTTTGTTTTTGTTTTGCCTACTCTGTCTTAACCTGACTCTACTCTAAGCTGTGCAACATTCTAGCAACACCAGTCTTCCACTGGCAGCTGTTGACTCTGTTTGAGGGGTGTTGGCTTGGAATTGGATGCAAGTGTTCTACACAAGAATGCAAGAAGTCCTATCAATGAGCCGCTACTGTCTCATGGACAAAAAAGGAATGGGAAAAAAATACTACTTCTAGAGTGGTTTGTTGTTATTTTTTACAGTTTCTACAAATCCCTCTCCAGAATTCTTTTCAACAGTGTTCTTTTTATTCTTTGTTGTTTCATGTTACATGTTGGTTCCCACCTACAGTGACCCTATGCACAGCAGAATGGAACATTGCCCAATCTTGCATCTCACAATTTTTGTTATATTAGAGCTCATTGTTGTAGTCACTGTGTCAATCCATTTTACCAATGCCCACGCCCCCACCACCACCACACACACACACACACACACACACACACACACTTCACTAAGCATGATGCCTTTCTTCAGGCAATGATCTCTCTTGATAACCTGTTTAAAGTATGTGAAAAGAAACCACTTCATCCTGTCTTCCGAGGAGTATTCTTGTAGTTCTTCTAAGACAGATTTGTTTGTTCTTCTTACTGTCCAAAGAATTTTGAAACTTCACCAGCACCTTAATTCAAATGAATTAATTCCTCTTCTGTCTCCCTTATTCTGTGCCTAACTTTCACATGCACATGGGGTGATGAAAAATATTATTACTTGGGTCAGATGCACCTTAGACCTCAAAGTGGCATCCTTGATTTTCAATACCTTAAACCGTTCTTAGGCAGCAGGGTTATCCTGTGCACTACATCACTGAATTGTTAACTATTACTTCCTTGAGTGTTGGCTGTGAATCCAAGCAAGATAGAGTCATTGACAACTTCAGTTTCTTTTCAGTTTATAAGTTGCCTAATGGTCAAGTTGTGAGCATTTTGATGTTCTTTGCACTGAGTTGTAACTGATACTGAAGGTTGTAGTCTCGGTATTCAGCAGCAAGTTTGTCAGGTCTGCCTTGCTTTCAGGAAGCAAGGTTGTGTCATCTGCCTATGGCTGGTTCTTAATAAGCCTTTCCCCATCCTTGATGCCTCGTCTTCCAACTTCTTACCTTAGCTGCTCATTTAAATTGAATGAGTATGGTAAAAAGATACAGCCCTGACACCTGCCTTTCCTGACTTTGAACTCACTATTCCCTTGTTCTATTCACATGACTGCCTCTTGGTGCACGTACAGGTTCCTCATGGACACAACGGAGTGTTTGGAATTCCCATTCTTCTTAATATATCCATTCGTTTCTTTTCACCCACACTGTAAAATGCCTTTGTGTAATTAATAACACACAAGTAAAGATGGTGGCCCAGTGGGTTACACATTAGGCTGTTAACTGCAAGGGCAGCAATTTGAAGCCAACAGCCTATCTGCACAAAATAAGGCTTTCTACTCTGTAAATATGGACAGCCCTGGAAACTCACAAAGACAGTGTTATTGTCTTATAGACTCAATACAAGTCTGAATTGACTAAATCGTGGTGAGTTATTGGTGTTGTTTTGTTTTGAATTAGGCTGCTTCTTTTTATCCTTAAACTCTCTGAGAATTAATGTCATGCAATAGAGGTCAATTCAGGAAAACTATAGGAATGTGATTATATGCTCGATGAAATAATATCTAGCTTGGTAAATTGGAAATGGCACTAATCTGGGATTTTGGAGAACCTGATTGGAGGCTGAAGCACAAACACCACCTTCTTGAGTGGTTTGGACAATACTATACATGTTTTTTTTCTCTTGGAGCTCTAAACACCACATTATGGGCATATTGGCATTCTTGATACTTGTAAATGTTGATTAAAAATATAAACTAAGTAACTGAAAAAAATAAAGAGTGAAGCAATCTTACATTAATATAGAAGCTGGAAGTCACTAATTTAATGCCTTTATATTTTTGCCCATGTTCCTCTCTAATTCCGTCACTTATTTACTTGAAATAGAATTATTTACCAATAATTATCTACCTGGAAATAGAAATCATTACTCTTCAAATATGGGGCAGTGGAGGCTCAGTGGTAGAGTTCCGGCCTTGAAGCAGGAGATCAGGATTAGATACCACCCACCTGTTGGTGGAGGCAGGTGTGTTACTATGTTGCTGGGCAGCTTTCAATTCAGCTGTCAAACAAGATGACTAAGGAATAAAGGCCTGGTGATATATTTCTGAAAATAAGCCAATGTAAATGAAGCTATCTGCAACTGACCTTGGGGCTACGTGGGAAGCAGAGTGGGTCGTGTTTTCTTCACTTGTGCCAGCATTCAGTTGTAATTGGGGGCTGGCTTGACAACCTGTCAAAAACTATCTGTCAAATGTTTTCAACTTGCAAGAGACGACACTAAATACAGAGGTTTTAAGGAACCCTGGTACACAACAGGGGATGTTAAATACAGGTTGGCAGTGCACACCCACCTAGAAACCCCTGCAAGGAGAAGACTTGGTGATCTGTTCTCCTAAACATGATAGCCAAGAAAGCACGATGGGTCCATTCGACTCTGCCACGTGGTTACGATGCGAGGAAATCAACTTGAAGGTCGCAAATGACAGCTGGGACGTTTCAACAGTGGACAGCAGGAGCTGCCTTTTGCTCTCCCAGGATTTCTGGTTGATCAGAGAAGGCCAAAAATTAGAAAATCTAAATAATATGCAGTGAGGGCTATGACAAAATCCCACATTAGCCTCGAAAATTCTAGATTCTAAATAAGGACTTGTGTCTGCATATCATTGACCATATGTAATCCAGATGAATTATGGAAACAGTCATTCCTTAGCTTAATTTTAGCATTTGCCTCTAGATATTTCCTCCAAGCAAGTGTCCTCTAACTTCATGAAGCTTTGGTTTTGCCAGGGGTACAGTCTGCAGGAGAGAAACCAGTTAAAACGAACAGACCTACGTGTGGGAAACTAAATGACGCTCTACATTTGTCATCATGAACAAACAGAAATGCAAAATCACCCATTGTCTGCACTTCCCACTTTCTCTCCTAGGACATCTACTTGGCCTCTCCCATGATGATTCCAAATTCTGTGAGGAGAATTTTGGTTCCACAGAAGATAAGCGCTTAATGTCTTCCATCCTCACCAGTATCGACGCATCCAAGCCCTGGTCCAAATGCACGTCAGCCACCATCACCGAGTTTCTGGATGACGGCCATGGTATGTATCCGTGAGGGCAACGTAAGCTCACAAACAAAATCTTGGGTGTATTACAAGCGTTGCTTCATTCGATCCTCATAATGTTCCACTTGCCTTCTAAGACATTTGTTGTTTAGACTGTGCCAGGAAAAGTGGCAAGGAGACCGTGTCTAGTGGTGTATAAAGCCAACGCCTTAGTGGTAGTACAACTCTGGTGTTTTTTCGTTTGAATTAGAGAGTTCAAAAGGGAAGCCCTGTGGGAGACCACACAGAATGCCTAGCCAGGGCTCTGAAAGCCTGGTTCTTATTCCCTCATTCAGCACCAGCTTCCTATGAGACCATTGGCAGACATCTTGATTCCCTCACTATTACTATGACTTTCAGAGTCATCGCTACATGGCCGTTACAGGGGTGTGGTTAAGATGTAGGTGACAATTTTGTCATGTACTCTTTATGGTGCCCTCAAACCAGGAAAGGAGGCCTGGTCTAAATGTACATCAACAAGGAGGATTTCCTTTCATCCTCACAGCAGTTCCAGTGAAAGTGGAGTGAACACTTCAAAACAAATAGAAAAAGCAATTTGAATGTTGGGAAAACGCTTTAAGAACTTCCAGTGGAAATACGTGGCCTGGTCCTTTAGAGCATACATTCCCAAATGTATTTGTTCTACCATTCTCTTTTCAGAAAAAAAAAATTACTCACCACAATGCTGGCAATTAAATCCTTTTGTTTGTAATTGGATGTAGTGTAGAAGCACAGATATCTACTTCTGCAGCCCCCAGATCTCTCCAGGGCCCCTGAGGGAACAGGATTGCATCCTTTGGAAACACTGCTTTAGATATCATTTTAGAGGATAGCATCGTTCATTAGTAAAGTCTGTACAACTAGAATCAATGCTGTTAGTAATATCAACATGCCATTTTAGAATTGATCAGTTCTGACAGTAAGGAATCTTTGAAACAAGCTGTTGAAAATTCTCAGTGTTTTTTAATACTTTGAAGGAATAGAAACAATAAACCTTACTTTTAGAAGTCTTCAGAGATCAAGCTCCACATCTAAATATATCAACATATTGACATTCTTTTTATTTTTGCTTTTGAAACATTGACCTCTCTCTGAATTGTGGTTACATTGAAAACTACAGCAATTTTAGATCTAACAAGTTTGCACTTAACATCTCTTAATCTATAATTCAACGTTAGATAAAATAAGTAAATCATGATTTGTGCTAGCTCTTTTTAACCAGTTCCATAAAATAGTGAACTGATACTTTCATAATTTCTTAGTGAGCAGACCATCTTGAGCTTTGGTCTTACAATGTTAAAATAATGGACAAGTTCTATTGATTTTTTATTTTTTTTAAATTAGCTGCACCATTTTTTGGTATCATGTAGCCAAAATGAGTTCTAACGCATTTTTGCTACTTTACTGATGAGCTGATAATGCTTTAGCAACTTGCTAAAACTTAAAATTCCCATTGTGGAAAACAATCTAGGTCTCACTTGATTTAAATTTCTCTCATTACCAAGTAAATGCTAATTACTTAGTTGAATGGCATTCCAATATCTCAGAGATTGACCACCAAGAGTAGTGATAAATATATTAAACTTTAGTTCATTATTTAGTTCATTTAATGAACTGTTTAGTTCATTAAAACTGTTGATTAAATGTGGAGAAAGTACTAAATTGAATGTTTCCCTAATTATCTGCATATCTACATTGACCAATTCAATGTCTAATCATTAAAGTCTGTTTGGGGTAGAATATGAGACTTCTGTCTTAATAATGATTTTGGCTCTTTTTTCAGGGTTTCTGAAAAAGAAATAACTTTCATTTTTTATTTCAAATCACACGTTACACATTCCAAAAGGCTGAGCTAAACTCTGAATCCCTAAATGAATGGATTTAGTTGCTAAGGCAGCAAATACTTATGGCTAAAATGGGACCTCTTTTCCCCCTGTATAAATATTAGGTCAGCTAATTACAATGCTGTGCAGAATTTTGTTCCTTATTGCATAATTTTGGAAGGATTCACTTGTTTCATGTTTGTGGAATTTATGATCCCACTTTCCTTACAGTAAATATGCTTTCTGCATTGTCTATATTTTTAAATATCTCTCTATTAAAGAACCCATACACTGATTTACTTTGAGATTACAGCAAATTGGGTTATTTTATATATCTCTGTGATCTCTACTGACTTGTTAGATAGAGCAACCGAGAACATAATTTTAGTAGAAATAAATTTTAATCAATTAATAAAATCTGCTTGTATCATCCATGCATAATAAATGCATAAATTCAATCAGAAAAATTCTTTGGATAAAAATTTCTTATGGGTCATCTCCTCCCCAAGACCCCTCTGCAAGGGGATCTCCAGTGGCCTACTAATGGGCTTTGGGTCTCCACACCACATTCCCCCCATCATTCACTATGGTAAGAATTTTTGTTCTAAGAATTTTTGTTCTGATGATTCCTTATACCTGATCCTTTTGACACCTTGTGATTGCATAGACTGGTGTGATTCTTCCATGTGGGCTTTGTTGCTTCTGAGCTTGATGGCCGCTTGATTACCTTCAAGCCTTTAAGACCCCAGA